ATACATAACCTAAAAAAACTTGTTGTATCAACATACATTAGTAAATAGTGGTCTATAGATTTCACTCTTTCTTTTTGAGATATCAAGATCATATTTGCTTCACAGTAAGAATTTTTTAGAACTCCTTTTCTGATTTTTTTTCTCAAACAGATTGTGTAACGTTGGAATTAGCTGAGTTTTTTTTAATTTGACAGAATTTACTTTTAAATTAATTGAGTTTTTTTTCCTTTTGGTAGCTCTTTTTTTTTTCAGTTTGAGTTATTGAAGTCCTCTATTTTGTCAATCTGGCCATTTCATTACTTTTGTAAATATTTATACATTTCATTCAGATATCCAAGGGTTTGGGGGCATTAAATTGGGCAGAATTTTTTTCTAATAATTTCTTTTATTTCTTCTTCATTTGTTGTAAATTCATCTCTTTTGATATTGGTAATTTGACTTTTCTTTTTTTTTTTTAATCAAGTTAACAAGTAGTCTATCTAATTTATTGGCACTTTCAAAAGAATCTTTTATTTTATTTATTAATTCAATAGTTTTTTGCTTTCAATTTTGTTCATCTCTTCTTTGAGTCTCAGGATTTCTATTTTGCTAGGGACTTTTTAGTTCACTAATGTCTAGTAAGTTTAATTGCAGAACCAATTCACCAAATGTTCTTTCTCTCTTTTTTGTCCACAAAAATGTTTAAACATACAGATTTTCCCTTAAGTACTACTTTGGCTATATCCTCCAATTTTTAGTCTGTAGTCTATTGTTGTCATCATCTTTAATGAAATTATCTATTGTTGCTATGCTTGGTTCTTTGCCGCACCTATTTTTTAGGATTAAGCTATTTAGTCTCGAATTAATTAAATTGTTTAATTGTTTCTTGAATATATTTTATTGGTTTGTCATCAATAAAATATGTGCATACTATTTCTGATTTTCTGCTTTTGTTTGTGAGGGTTTTATGCCCCAAACAGTCAGTTTTTGTGAAGGTTCTATGCACAGCTAAGGAACATATATACTTCTTTCTATTCCAAATCAGTCATCACCAAAAGGTTTTCCTATCTAACTTTTCTAAAATTCTATTCAGGACTTCAGCTTCCTACTTATTTTTATTAAATTTATCTAGGTCTGAAAAGGGTAACTTGAGGTCTCTTAGTATCATTTTATTTTTTTTCTTCCTGTAACTCATTTAATGTTTCCTTTAGGTGTTAAGATTCTATGTTATTCAATGTAAATATATGCTTACTATTGGTGTTAATTCACTATCTAAGATACCTTTCAGCAAAATGTAGTTTCCCTGTTTCTCTTTTACTCAAGTTTATTTTTGCTATGGCCTAATCTACGAGCATGATTACTATCCTTGCCCTTTTTACTATAGCTTAAATATAATACATTTGGCTTCATTGTCTAATTTTAACTCTGCGTAAATTTATTTGTTCAAATGTATTTCTTTTTCTTTTTCTTTTTCTTTTTTTTGGCTAGGCAATGGGGTTAAGTGACTTGCCCGGGTCACACAGCTAGTAAGTGTTTTGTGTCTGAGGCCGGATTTGAACTCAGGTCCTCCTGACTCCAAGGCCAGTACTCTATCCACTGTGCCACCTAGCTGCCCCCAAATGTATTTCATTTTTAAAAGATATTGTCAGATTCTGTTTTCTAATCCATTCCACTATCCTTTCACATTTTATGGATGAGTTGAAAGCAAGCACATTCACAATTATGATCTTTAATTGTATATTTCCCTTCATCCTATTCTCTTACACTTTTCTTTCTCTTTGTTTCCCACCACTCTTTACAAAGAAGAGGGTGGTGAGTGAGAGTGTGCTCTGCACAGTTGAAGTATTTTTGCTTATGATTAATGCCTTCCTTAATATACCCTTCTTTTTATTCTCCTTCTTCTGCTCCCCTTTCCCCTTCTCTTTCCTTATAGAGTGAAATGTATCTCAGCATTGGTGTGTGTGTTTGTATATACAAATTTTGATAAGTTTAAATAAAAGTGAAGTTCAAGTGGGTCCCCTTTCCCTTCCTCCTTAGTTCCTGTAGTCTTCTACTGGCAAAACTCAATTAGATGATAGAATTTTCCCTATTTTTCCTCTACCTCCCCATTCTTCCACCCTTGGTATATTGCTTTTCCTCTTCCTTTCCTCTTTTAAGATCATCAAAATGTAACAAAACCACTCTTGGGTCTTCTGTCTTACAAGTCTACCTCTATAATCCCTGATGATATTAGGGTTCTGAGGGGAAATATTATTTCCCTCAATAAAAATGTAAATAGCTCATCTTTGTTTAATATTATTTCTCATTCATAGCTACCTTTTGATGTTCTCTTTACTATAATGTTTGTATTTCAAACTTTCTACTCAGCTCTGGCCTTTCCTTCAGAAATTCTTGGAAGTCCTCTATTTTATTAAAGATCCATTCACCCCCCCACCCCCATAGGATTAGACATGGCTTTTGTAGGTAAGTTGTTTTGGTTGTAAGCCTATGTCTTTTGGAATATTGCATTTGAAGTTCTCTACTTCTTTATAATTGTGGCTACTAAATCTTGTGTGCATCATGCTATTTAAATTCTTTCTGGCTGCTTGAAGTATTTTTTTTTCTTTGACTGGAAAGTTCTGAATGGTGACTATAATATTCCTAGGGGTTTTATGCGGGGGGGGGTTCTTTCAGGAGGACACTGGTACATTATTTTCTATATTCACTTTGCTATGTAGTTCTGAGATCTGGGCAGTTTTACGATTCCTTGAAATATGAAATATAGGCTCTTATTTTTTGGTCATGGTTTTTAGATAGCCCAATGATTCTTAAATTATGTCTCCCTGATCTATTTTCTAGGTCAGTTTTTTAAAATGAGTTACTTTACATATCCTATTATATTTCAGTCAATTTTCCTGGCTTTAATATTGCCTGTTGAATAATGGAGTTATTATCTACAATTTGGTCCATTTTAATTTTCAAAATACCTCTTGTACCAAGCTGTTAATTCTCTTTCCCAGTATTTCTTCTGTATCTCTCATTTCTTTTCTAATAATTTCCTCTAGAACTCTTATTTCATTTGTAAAGTAAATTTTAACTCTTTTTTTCTGCCAACTCAATTAATTTCTAGGAAAACTTTGTTTTCTTTTGAAGCTGTGCTTATAGATATTTTGAATTCATTCCTTTCTTTTGCGTTTATGTACTTGGTGTTATGATGAGATTAAGTTTTGGTTTGTTCATTTTCCTCAACTTTGAACTTTACTTTAGGGTCAAGCTCTGGAGGAAATGTCTGGGCCATGTTTGGTTCTATTTTATTTCTTATTGAGGCCTGCTGCTCCTTTCTCTAGGTATTGAATATGGTATTTTACAACACCTCAGGGACAACTCAAGCTAAGGACCTAGAAGTTTTCAGTGCACCTGCAAACGTTCTATTTCTGCATGCATTATTACGATGGCACCTTCCTACTCTCAGTTTTGCTAGTTCCTGACGTGGGGCTGGGTCTGAGCAACACAAACAACTGTGTGTTTGCCTCTTGTTGGAGACTCAAGAGACTGCTACTGGATTCAACCATCACCACATAGCAGGAAGTCACAAGGCTAAGAGCAACAGAACTTTGGGTTTCTCTTTGGGCTGAAGTTCCTGTTCTGGTTATTCTATTGTGGACTTCAGACTGTCCTTGAGATGAATCTGAGATCCTATTCTTTCGTCAGGGACAGAGTCACACAGCTGCTGCTCCTTTCCCTCCTCCTTGCTCAGTACAGAGCCTCAGTCTTGCAACCCTCACAACCCCCCTGGGTACCACCACTTGGTGCAAGTTCCTTATACACTGCACACTAATTCAGGACCCAACTCCATGGTATACATTTCTGAGCTACTAGTTGCCACCTGTTCATGGTCCTTATATAGCATGAGGTCACTCTGAGCTAGATCTGGGGCCTCTAGTACACAGATGGTGGCACTGTTTACTCTAAGCTCGATCTGTGATCTCTTCTTGTTTTATTGCACAACTCCAGGCCCTAATTCAGACCCTACACTGAAAGACTATGTATGACATGCTTGTGATGTCTGAGGAGCTTTCTGCCTATCTTTGTATGATAACCTGGGATGGAAAAATGACTCACTTTAGCCTTTTTTTCTTGGATTTCCCAATTAGGACTTGGGCAAGATCTTCGTGGAGGACTTGTGAAGGGAGCTGAATTGTACTACTTTCTCCTACTCTGTTACCTTGACTTATCTCTCCACAGAGTACTTTCCATGACTTCAGGACTATTACTGGACAAGCCTAATGTCAAGGACATGTTAGTGTAGGTAACAGTGGAGCTTAATGCAGGTAAAAGAAAAGCAAAAATTCAAAGGCAGGAAAAAAGCAAAGATAAATGTAATCCCCACCACCACCCTTGAAGAAATGACTAAATGTGAAGAAGGAAGAGCAAAAATTCTGGGATTTGTCTCCATTCCACTCCCACCCTCTTCCATAGGCAATAGAACTGAGTTCCATATCTTATTGAACTAGTCCATATGGTGAATAATGTCAAATCTTTTCACATAACATCATTTCTCTAGGCTAAACACCTTAAGTTTCTTCAACTGACCCTGATATATTATTATGGGGTAGGATAAGGGAACTGGGAAATCATGAGCTAACCAACACTCCACACTCCAAAAACACCATCCAGGGACTGCTTTGAGCAGACCTTGACATACAGTGTATTGCTCAGAGACCTAGATGTGGTTCCTTGTGAAAGAAGTTAGTTATTGAAGAAAGCTTCTTGGACAGTCCTTTAGTCACTTTCACGTAATCTTTTGCCTTCTCCAGTCTTAAATAGCTTTTGATTTTATAACACAAGGTCCCTCTTTCCCTACTGCTCTAAGACTCTCACACTCCAGGGCCAAGAAGGCCTATTCTTCCCAAGTAGCTTTCAATACACCAGAGTCATCCAAAGACCACACCACTGTACTGCAGAAATTTTATTAAGAAAAAAAAGAAGTCTTATTAAGAGGTTCAAAATATGCTTCTTTTTGGTTGCAATAATATATTCTATGTCCCTCCATCTCAATCATATCCCTTGAAAACAGGATTTCCAGGGTAATTCTCTGCAAATATGTGTGTGTTTAGATAGATACAGAGATATAGATACGTAGATATATTCTACATGTTTAATCCCTGCCTAAATGTCTGGTTTGTTTCAGGGTACAGGGACTTCCATTGAATTCTTTGATGGGTTATCACTTTCATCTACAGACTATGAGAATTCATGGTTGCAGGCAGGGCCTAAGGAATTTGGGGAATCATGATTGCAACTGAATACAAGGTAGTTTGCAGGGTAATCATTACGGCCAGGAACTTGATAATTTTAGGTATCAGGCTTATAAACAGGGCTTGAATAATTTGAATTATCACTGCTGTTAATTCCATTCTAGGGTGTCAGGGATAGGCAAAAATGGTAATGGCTATGGTTTGGATTACTACCCCCTTTTGGCTGGAGCATCAGAAGATTGTTTTTTAGTTTGGGACTCAAAAAGTTGTCCTCTGGATGCCTGTGCCATAAGTTGTTGCTTAGATGCCTGTTGACTAAGTAGTTGATTGGATGACTGTTTTCATGTTGTTTAAAAACCTGTTGCTGGCTGGATGCCTGTTCTTTAATGTGGGTTTTGTTGGTGCTTTTGTTGTCTTCATGGCTATCCCATCAAATGCAAGACCGGTTAAGCATGCCGAATCATAACGAGCAAAGATAGAAGTCAGTGCCTTCCCACCGTCTGTGGAGGAAGCGGTGAACTGATTTGGATCAACTCTGCCAACCTCAAGTCTCTTGCCTTTGTTCGTCATGAAGGTGAGTTGCTGGAGGCACCTCGTATTGCCATTGCTACCAGTCACTTGAACAATGAACTCATCTGTGCTTAGGACGACTTCCTTGAGAGAGCCCTTAGGACTACCGTACCTCAAGCTCCATTCAGTCCCATGCCATACTTGGATGCTAGGAGAGAAAACACATCAAATGTCCTGAGAATTGGTGCTAATCCATCATCCCTCACCTTTTAACAAAGATCATCAAAGCTCACAGTGCCCATTTACAACACTTCCCCACAAGTGGTTATCTAGCCTGTGCTTGAAAACCTCCAATGAAGGGACACTCACTCCTCCCAAGGTTTCTGAGTAGCAGAGACCTTTCTATTATCCTTCAGTCATGCTATGTGCATGACATCCCATAGCCTTGAGAAAATACTCTTCATCCCAGGCCAGAGCATGGAAGAATAAAAGCAGGATTGAATGTGGTAGATCTCCCTGTCCAGCTCCAAAGTCTAACATCACCATGCTCCCTATATGTGCAATTCTATGTATGTTTTAGTGAGAGAGAGCAGGATCAACGTGACATGACTGGTAGAGGTGGCACTGAGACCCTTCTAGGTGCTTAAGTGAATGTATGCATATAAATCACAAAGGTCATGAGAGAAGTTGCCTTCAGAACTACTCACCTGATGTTCCAACCCGGACATGGACTCCAGTGATTTCCTTCCCCTCTTAAGAAAAGACAAAATTGGAGCCTTCATCTACATGTCCAATGAAACCTTGGTTTTGGCTTTCTGAAAGAGAAAAAATGATACAGTACTATAGTAGCCAGCAAAACCTTCCCTCAGACTACCTTACCACCAGAAATATGCATGACAATTAAATGCAAGTCAGCACCATGGTCCTGGTGTGGAGATCAGAGGGGCTGTCTGTCAACAGGTTACTGAAGAGTCAGTCAGGCCTTGCACTAGGAGACAAGGACTTCTCCTTAACAAGATGCAAAGATGCCAACACCCCTCCTCCACAAATGTCTTCATTCTTGGCCAGTTTCCTGAATGACTCCAGTTATGCCCAAATATGGAAGTGACTTTTCCAAGACCCTTTGAACTGAGCTTCATACTTTCCCCTGGTACATCCCGGAACCTCTTTTTTTTTTTCATGAATTTGCAGGAGCCACCAGATCTATGAGCTTTTCCAGGGTGACTTATTGCTTCATCTGAACAGAATGGGGTCTAACACATTCAACCACACCTCCCACCCCCAAACCAGCCTGGTCTACTTTGCAGAATAATACAAAAAGATAATTCATGCCTGCTGTATACTTTTGGGGTGACCAGTCTGTCAGATGCAAAAGTACTTTGATTTTCAAAGTAATGGTGAAGACTTTATGTGACAGCTTTTTCTGTCTCTTATTTACATTGAGCAAGAAAGTGGAGATAGCTCTCCTATTGACTGATCACATAATTCTATGAGTGAAGCTTTCCAAACCTGTCTTATTTTCTCCTTTTTTTATATTCTCTTATCCTTTGGAAATATATTTATAACATTTTTAAAACTCTTTTCAAAAATTATTTCTTTATTTCTTCTTGGCATCCTAGTGGAACTTGTGCTCAAGATGTGTTTTTCTCTGAGGCTTTACTTGTAAAAATAAAGGGACTGGAAGGTTCCACACGGTATGCTCCTGGGTGGATTATGTCCCCAGTATCTATAGTTCTATCTGCCTCTCTGTCTTCCTATCCCATTCTGGGCTGGAAAAATAAATAATTCACTGTGATTATTTTTTTTTATTTCCCACTATGGCCTCAGTCCGATGTTTTCCAGGTCTTTGTGGAGTAGTTGTGAGGGTACTGCTTGGTATGTTATACTGCTTCCCCCAGCTAGGTTGCACAGTGGATAGAGCATTGGCCTTGGAATCAGGAAGATTCATTGTCATGAGTTGAAATCTGGCCTTAGACATTTATTAGCTATGTGACCCTGGGCAAGTTACTTAACCGTGTCTGCCTCAGCTACTCATCTGTAAAAAGTGACCTGGATAAGGAAATGGCAAACCACTCTACTATCTTTGCTAAGAAAACCCCAAAATGGATTCACAAAGAGTCAAACACAACCAAAATGACTGACTACAACAACCACGGTATTGTGACTTTTCTCTCTTTTCCATTGTAAATATTAGAAAATATTCTTGACTGGTTTTGAGTGTATGGGGAAAAAGATATGAAGGGAAAGAAAACGCCAGAATCAGCTATCCAGTTATGAAACCATCAGCTGAAGAAACACAAAAAGTAATTCAGGAGCAGATAAAAGGTTGTAGAATTGAGAAAGGAAGATGTCTTAGTGTGAGTTGGTGAAGTCCTTTGGATTGTGGCCCAAGGAAGCTGACTCAATTTGGCAAGACCTAAAGCCTAGGGTTGTAGCCTTTACAGAGAGGTAAGAGAGCTGTAGGGCCATGGGTCTCAAGCACTGAAGGTTCTGAAGGTCCAGCCTGTAGGTTTCAAAGGGAACTGACTAACTAATAAGATTTTTCATGATTTTGAATGGCCAACTCACTCTAAAACCTGGCACTTGAAAACAGTGATCTTCTCCCAACTAAACCTTCTTTTTTACATGTAGAACATTCCTAATGCATTTAACCAATGAAATGGTTCTTAGTCACTCACCATTTTCCCATCTCCTTCAAGAGAGTCAAAAGGAGTCTTATGAGGGGGTGGAAGCCCAAGATTGAAGGATGAAGGTAGGTCTTAGGCCAGTCTTAGAACACTGTAAACTGACTCTGACTTGAGCCTTGTTCTGGGAATCCAAGCAGGACATTCACATTAAAGGTAGAGATGGGAGAAGACTTATGTTGGACTCCATTGGCTGAACCTCCAAGGAAGGCAAGTGACAGGATTAGCAGCAGCATCTAAAAAAAGGAGACCAAATAAATGGTAGGGGGCTGGAGGAGGGCAGAATAATTTACCCTGAGCCCTTGGGAAAGGTGTAACCATATTACTTCTCTACCCCCCCCAACCCCTCACCCCACAAGGCAGAGTCCTATTGTGAATTCCAGGGCAGAGGAATTTTAAAAACCAGAGCTTTCATCTAGGTGATCTAGTAGAGAAGAGCCAACCAGTGTCTGATTTCGCTCAACTTCTCTTCATCTCCTAAGATGTTGGGTTCTGGCTTTAGACATTGGGCAGAAGCCCAACAGGCTCCACCTCTTGTCCAGTACAACACTAGGGATTACCTAGACTTTCCTTACCTTGTAAACCTGGATGGACAGTGTTTGTCTTCCTTACTTTGTAGGCTAGACACACCAAAGAAACACAGGGTGACCTGATCCTTTCTGTTCTGGCACTGGTCACAGGCTGATTCTGCACAACCACCCCTCCCTTCACTCCTTTTGTCTCTTAGGGGACAGCTGGCCTTAAGAGAAGAAGAAGTCTGGGGCTTAGGGCCTGACCATCCTCATTCTATAGCCTGAGGACAGTAGGAGGCCACTTAGTACTAAATAGGATGCTCATTCAGGCCATTCAACATGCAGTTATTAAGTGACTTATGTGCATGCATGAAGCATTACAACTTAGGGCAGGAGAGATAAACCATTCAAGTAATCCATCCTCTTGGTAGAGAAATAGAAGTTTACAAGGGAAAATAGTGAAATACACTCTTGGAAGGGGAGAATTGCCCTCATAAAGGAATCCAGAGCAAGCTTTATAGTTAGTAATTGCCTAACTCCTCCCTTCTGGATCAGGATTGGTCCTAATCCTTCTGGGTTACAATCTTCCTTATATGCCTCACCTCTAACATACATTATGTGCCTAGAATGGTGTTATCACTGTGCCACCCCCCCCACCCACTCCTGATGGAGAAGTTAGCCTGTCTGTGCTGATTTCTTTCTGCTTATGTGGGAACTTAACTCTTCCATTTCTCACAAAAAGAATACTGAAGTTGGAACCCAAAACTCTCCTTTCAAAACCAAAGTCAGAGATTCAGAGTTTAGTGACTATCTCCACTGTTTTCACTTAACTATGTTCCTTCTCAACATTGAGAATGAAGGTAAGGGTGGAGAGGCTATCATATCTAGAAACAATAACAGAGGGCATAATTAATACTATTGTAACATTGACTGGTTAGAAGACCTCAACATGCTCTGCTGGTCCAATCCTCTGGGTGAAAAAGGCTGAAAAGCCTGCTTCCAGAGACAGGATGACATGGAATTGAAATGCCTTGCATAGTTTAGGAGAGTATGTGCAGTAGTCATTCTGTCACTGGGTGACATCTGCAAGCCATGTGATAAAGAGGAGTCTTTTCACTCAAAAAGCGTTCCCTGAAGGCCAGCTACATCAGAGGCACTATACTAAGAACCAGAGGTGTAAACAAAGCAAAATTCATGTTTTCTGCCCCACTAAGCTCACATTCTAATGGGAGAGACAATATGAAAACAGGTGCATTCAAATAGGCAGTAGCCCCCTTTTGTGAAGGTTCTTTTCAGGCTGCTGACATCAGAGAAGAATCAAAAGGTGCATACCAACACAAGGGGGAATGGGGGCCAGGCCTACTCTTAACTAGGGCTTGCCTGAAGGTGACAGCACATGACCCTGCTGTTGGCTTCTGTCTTTGTTGAGTCCATTCTTCTCCACTTCTGGAAATCAGGTAACACAGCAGATAGAATGCTGGAACTGAAGTCAGAAAGACCTGAGTTCAAATCCAGCCTCAGACACTTACTAGCTGTGTGACCCTAGACAAGCCACTTCACCTCTGTTGCCTCTGTTTCCTCAGCCTTAAATGAGGATCATAATAGCACCTATCTCCCAGGATCATTGTAAGGATCAAATGATTTTATCTTCGTAAAGTGCTTGGCACAGTGCCTGGTACATAAGTACTAGATAAATGTTCCTTGTTTTATTATTACAGCTATTCTAGGGAAGGAGAACAGGATCTGGAGATTGTAAACTTCAAAGAGTCAGGATAAAGAGAACTAGGAAGTCCACCAGGGGAGGAACTTAGGCATGGTTTTCTTGACCACCCAATCCAACATCAATGTCCCCAAAGAATTACCTTGGAGACACAATCTGGCATGGCTAAAAGACTGATTCATCCAGATGATTTATATTTGGATGTGATCTTGGTGAGACTTATACTGTGGAGAAAATGTATTAAGTCTGAGCCCACAGTCCCCAGGGGTTGAAGAGGTATGGGTGAGAATGTGCCTATCAGATGTTAGAGGGAAAATACATCTATTCTTTCTATGTCTACAAAGTAAATATCCCTTTGTTAAAGGTAATTGATATTATCAGTTAAATGAAACTAAAATCTTAGTCATTGGCAACTTACCATGAGGATGGGGGAGGTTGGGCATGGGGAATATAGAAGAACCCAGGTTTGACCCAATGGCATTAAAGAAAGATATGCACAACTCCCCTCAAGGGCACCCTCTAGAATCTCGAAGTGGAATTATAGACAATCTTCCTCTGGAACAGTGAGGACAGAGCTCAACATTAGATTATTAAACAAAGTTTAGGTGAAATAGTAGCTCCATATCTCATTCATCAAGCCCAATGACTGTGAAACTGAGGAGAATTGGAAAGCTGAGAGGAATAGGACCCACTTGTCCAATCATCAAGCACTTGAACTTCTTATGGGAATGTTTTATTTCCTTTTATGACTTGGGACTCAGGTCAATTCTCCCTGCAAATTTTGGTTAATTAAAACCTGTCTTAATATTAACCTCACCTAACCAAAACCTGTATCATGGAATGTGAAGATTTACTTAGAGCCTAAGACATTCCTTAGATAATGTGGTGGGTGAACGATGAAATGACTGAGGAAACAAAAGTTCAATCTTCCAAGTGTATGGATTTATTAAGCAATGCATGCCAATTGCCAAAAAAAAAATGTGGAATAGACCCCTTCCTCAGTTTAGGGATGGACCACAATACAGCGGAAGACAGACTTTTATACTTTAAAAAGAATTATAAAATGAAACAATAAAACATTAGATAGTCTAATTTCTAATTGGATGAAAGATTAGGGACTTTCCAAATTGGGACAGGAAGAGCAAAGTGGTACAATTCCCTGAATTAAAAAAAGAAGTATCCCATTCCTCCCAAGCATCTGTAAACAATCAAAGGGATGTTCAGGGAAGGCTCAGATTTCTAGTGTGAGGGCTTAAGGGCTTGCCAAGCAAGCCCTTTTCAGGGTTGCTCATCCACCTTTAATGTCCACCTTCACCCAATTCACCTATGGCTCCTAGAAGCTGTAGCATAAGCAGTGATTACACTCAGTAAACTACTTCAGCAGACAGGCTAAATCAGGTTAAGTGTAACCAACAGGCCCTCAAACCTGTTGGTGAGTTAGAGAGATGTCTACCCCAACCATGTGAAGACTTCACCCCAGCAGAACAGGCAGATGAGAACAATTTGTTCAAATTGTCATGAAGGGGGTCAAAGCAGATGCTGTGGAGCTTGGTCAGACATCTAAGACTCCATAGTCAATCACTGCAACCTGGACCATCACCAGTCATCCTGACTTTCGTCTTGCCACTGTACTTCAATGACTCTGGAAGAGAGAGTGAGGCTGACAATTTTTGCAATTCTAGCTCACTTAAATCCAACTCATGAGCAGGTCAAGACACCACCTGTGATGTCATTGGTCCTCTTCAAAATGAAGAATGAACATAACAAAATCAAAGGAACATGGAAACAATAACTGATTGATCAGTACAGGGCCAGTTGTCAAAAAGACATATGAGTTGTTTGAGATGTACAAATTGTTAAAAAACAAACAAACAAACAAACCAAAAAAACAACCTCACATTAATCTTTGGGTCTGACTGGGTGTCTGGTCAGCATAACACAGGTCCTTAGTTAAGGATCTGTAAGGAGCAGGTAAAGATGGTCCACCTTCTGAGCTACGTAGGGCTAGGTTCAAACAATGAAATAAGATTTTCGCCCATTTGAGAATTGAAAAAGTTTCTCACAGGATACAATTTGGACTAGACTCATAATTAAATAGAAAGGGAACTGAGCTATCTGGAGAGCTGAGTCACAAGATAAAGTCAGTGCAACCTACCCAATTCCCATAATTAACCACTTGCTGCCCAAATCCCTTCAATTCCTTCAGTAAGCTGAGTGTCAGGTGAAATTGTTTTGATTTTCAAGGTAATGGAGAAAATCTTATATGACGGCTCTTTCTGTCCCTCCCTCACTTCGAACAAGGGTTTGGAGTTGGCTGCTTTGTTCACTGACTAAATCTCAATGTGAACGAAGCATCACAAGCCTTTGTTATTCTTTTCTATGAGCTCTTTTCCTTTGTAAATACATTTATGAAATTATTGCGAAACTCTTGTTTCATTTCTTCCAGCAATCTTCCAGGAATCTCAGTTGAACTTCTGCGCGAGCTGTGCTTTATTGGAGGTTTGGTTGCAGATGTTTAGGAGTCATTCTCTTCCTGTGGGTTTATGGTTTATGTGTCCTTGTCAGTAGTCTGGGGCTCTCTGTTCATTTCTTTCAGCCCTACTTCCTGACTTTTGACTTTGCATTAAGGTGAAGCTGCACACCCCTGGGGGGAATGCCTAGGCAATGCTTTGCTTTGTTTTGGATCCCTTTGGGTCTTGCTCTTCCCTTTCTGAGTATTTAGTGTTGTATTCTTTGAGGACTCCAGAAAAAGCTCAGGTTGGAGAATTGGAACCTTTTAGGGGACTCAAAGGGAACCAGGTCACAGTCTGACAGCTGCTTTCTTGGTCTAAGTTCTGCAAGTTCCTGAGCGGGACTGGGTTTGAGCAACACAACTATGGATTTATCCCTGATTGGACCCAATCACCATTGGCTAGGCTGGTTCAGAGCAACAAAACTGCAGAGTCTGCTTTGGTCTGAGCTCCCTGGTTCCTCTGGTTATCCTACTG